TCATAATAGTGTTGAATAAAGTGAGAAGTATTGTATATAGTGTCAGTGCAAGTGCATGCCACTAACATAAACTGAGTGTCATAGTGTGAATGAACAGCAAAATTTATTTCAGGCTAAATGAGATAAATTTCATCAAAATTATAATAATTAGAAAATGATGGATTCAACAAAGTTTGACTAAAAGGCATATTAAATGTATACATGTAGACACGATGGAATGCATGTGATTATTAAGTCACAGCTTAGGCAAGCCTTGTATGACTTGTTGGATTAATTCATTTATTTATTTTGAGCATTAGGGTGCATAGCATACACATGCAAGGTAAAAGATGTAGGACATGTACACTTAAGGGCGTGAGTGGGGGGAAAACAATTATATAATAAAATCAAGCTGACTTGTATCTGCAAAAGCATTGCACAGCTGAAAGCTGTACCATGCCATAGTCAGCCTTGTCCTTTAATTTATATCACACATAAAATTACATGCCATATTCAATAATTTTACTACGTAAAAATTAGATCACAAAATTTTGAAACCTAAATTTCTACCACATTAATTTCATACTATGGTGACGGCATTAACATAAATTTTTGAGTGTGCAATATTGGTACCTGTAATATCTGATACAGTAGTATGTATAACTATATACAAAGATCAAGTGTTTACAATAATTGGCTCAGGCTACTGATATTCTCATCATGTGTGAATTTGGGTGTTTACAAATAGTTACACTTGGCATTGCTATTAATTTTTTCTTTTTCGAAACAACAATTATTTATAATTTATGAAGACAATATATGAACAAGATAATTTTGGTAATTAACCATTGGCAATAGTTAGCCAAATACACTTACAGTCTGCTCATAAGAGACTTGCTTCTCAGTGATATACCTCACGTTTTTTTAAAAGACTGAACAGTACGTGCATGATCTGGGCCAAACTAATTGTGAGAGAAAACAGTTAAGAAACCTAGATGGCCTGGCATTAACATTACTGCATACTTTAGTCCTATAGATATTGTATGCTTTTCTCTTATTTTGCTTAGCTTCAGCAAATGCTCCAATGTGAGTCAATGAGTTGGCAAGAAGATGATGACTAGAGAAGAGAGGGAGGGAGGTAGAGAAAGAGGGATGGAGAGAGAGGGAAAGAGAGAGGGGGAAGGGAAGGAGGAGCCAAAACAATGAGAAAACGATAAGATAAGATGTACATGTACATGTATCTTATCATTACTAACATTGTGGCTACAGTAATTGATTGACTTCCATGAAACCTAATGAACAGATACAAGAACAAACATAGCCAGCCTTAATTCTCTTGATTTGTATATACTAGCTCACTTGTTTTGTAATCTACGATCACTTTCCAGATATGCCTGACTTTCTTCATAATGACCAGCATTACTCAGTAGTAAACCAATGTAAAACTACTCAATGTAACTAAAATAAATAATAACAGTTATGATACAAAATTTACAATACTTTTAAACAATACATGTACATGTGTATGATGAAACTAGAGAACATTGATAAAACAATACTTACATCAACATTAGACATTTCAGGATGATCCTCACCAAGTGTTAACATTATTAGATACATAACTCTATACAGTAATCTCAACGCCACAACATTCCTCTCAGCCCCACAGCAATACTAAGCCAAATGGAACTATATAAAGAAAAAAATC